GTGCCTGGAGAATCACAATTGAGATAGAAATAAGAATTGTTGCAAGCAGTAAGAAGATTTAAGGGAGACTCAGAGCTGTGTCAAGGGACTTCCTAGAATCAGTTCAAGGAAATTCTATGCCAGTGTTCAAATCCTTCTTCCACGGTACAGAGGGGACTGGAACAGTTGTGAGCAGGAATCAGCTAAGGTGTTTGAAAAAGAGATGAGCTGGAAATCAGAGCTATAGATTCTTGTCATAGATATCAGAGAACACTTGCTCTTCTTTGGGAGATGGTGGGGGAAAGGCGGACAATTGTATATTAAGAAAAATCCTATGTGAAGAGCCAAGAAGTAGAATCAGGATGTATGTTAAATTTTTAAGTGTCTGAAAGTAGGATCAAAGATATAACCTATGGAGTCAAGAGCTTGGAAGTATGGAGATAAGATCTAATATAAACAGTTTTGGGGCAGAAGGAATGAAGGGCTCCAAATAATTACCGTTAAGAGTCATTTTTAAATTATTTTCAAATGGTGAAATGTTTGTTCAAAAAAGTGTTATATATAACAGATAGACATGCCAGCCTTTCTGAGCAGAACTTGAGATGGGATTGGGTAAGTGGGGGATGTGGGAGCCCACAGGCCCAAACCCACCTGTTCCTATGAAGAAACTTGCTGCAATTCTGTGGAACACCTGGCATTGATTTAAGGCACCAATTTTCAACTGTAGAATTAACAATTATGTTGAGTATTCTGTGGTGGGGCATGTCAAAAGGGAGGAGGTATAGTTTTTGAACAAAGAATTCAACCCGTGGAACTCAGAGCTTATTTTATTTAAGCCAATATCCTGTTACCTTGCACATCCATGTAGCTGAGTGGTTCCCGCAAATCCCACAATCATATCCATCTCATCAGAGCAAGTGATGTGCTGCCTGTGAACAGTGTCTGTGGCTTGCTTTTACGTATCAGCAAAGTGGACCAGCCTAGCTAAAGTGTTTAAGATGGGGAGTATAGCTAGGAGATGGGATAGTATATAGAGATGAGAGGTGAAATGACAAAATAGCCAAACTAGAAAACAGGAGAGGAGTTAGAAAAATAAAGCTAGAGTCAATAACAGGACTGTCTGAGATTAAATTGGGTACTGATGGTGCAGCCAACATTATTGTTTTCCTAAATCAAATGCACACATCATCCTCCTTTCTTGCTAACAAAAGTGTGACTTTGTCTGGATAACAGACCCTCCTCCACCCAGCCTTGTACTTAACTAGACAGTCACAGTAATTCCATTACCCTTGCCAACAACTGACTTAAGAATGGGCATTTGATGCCATTATGGGCAAAGGAGAGGGAGCTTCCTTGAAGAATTTTCCTGTACCTACAGTGGTGTAACTGGCGCAAGATGGTTCCTCTTCTTTTCCTAGACATGTCTTTTCCTAGATGTCTGAATAACTGGAGCTACAGCAGTCATCTTGCGACTATGAGGAAACATACTGAGTGACAATGTTGACACAGACAGTTTGAATCCTTGATGTCATGGTTGAATCACTGAATTATCCAACCTTGAAACTGCCCCACTTCAGGGCTTCTCTTTAGGGGAAATATCAGTTTTTTTCTTATTGCTTGAGTTAGTTGAGGCAGGGGTTTCTGTTAGCAGCAAGCAAAGCATCCCAACTGATACTGAAGAGTGGAAAGCAGCTTTGTAATCCAACACACAATTGTTATCCCCTTAGGCATTTCTTGTACACTCTATTTGGTATCTGTCACTGAACTAAAACTTCTCCTAAAGCAGCAGAGAGATAGTCATTTGATAGAGTAGAACCAAGAAATATGATGGAAGAGAAACATGAGCTGATTTTGAGAGATGAAGCCAAATTTTAATCACAGAGTTCAAGTGAATAGTTTAAATATTTATGCATATTGGACTGCCATAGACCAAGTAGGACAAAGAAAAATCTTTGGATAAACCAAGAAAAATAAAACAATAAAGTCTGTGAGCTCCTTGAGGGAAGGCACCATGTTTTGTCTGTTGCTGGGTATCCAATACTTAGCAGCATGCCTGGCACATGGTAGGTGCTCTATAAATGCAGAATTAAGTAATTGAAAGAGACCAGAGATTTAGTAATTATTATTTATTTGCAGTTTCATCCAAGCATTCCCAGTTTCTTATGGATTATTTGAGTAGATGATGCTGGGCTGGTATCAGGAACTAAGTCCAAAGACTAGAATTAAATAAGCACTCTCTGCAAACATGGCATAACCATAGGAACTTTGAGGCAGAGACTGTTGACTATTCATTAGAATTAGAATCGATGTGCAGCTTCCCAGGATGGATAAGAATCACAATGAATAAACATAAAACACATGTGTATGAGCATCACAGCTCACAGTGATTTGACATATTCTACCTCCTATGATCTTTCCAACAGTCCTGGACCCACACTAGGCTACAATTTCCAGACTCTCTTGCGTGGTTTTGCCATGTGACTGAGTTCTAGCCAATAGAACATGAGTGGACTTGATGTGTGCCATTTCTGGGCATCGCATTTTAAAAGCAAGTGTGTTGTCTCCATATTCTCCTTTCACAGTCCTACTAGCTGGATGAGGATGGCAATGAACTAAGGAGTGCCAGAGTGACAAGAGGGAAGGTGCCTGGGTCTATGAATTACCGTGATGAACAATCAATACCAACCAGAAATAATCTGCTATTGCAATCAATCTGTTATATATCACGCCATCTTTTTGTCACCATAGTTTAGCCTACTTTAAATAATGCATCTTTTACACACCCATTGGTTTATGTGCACAATATCAGCCTTGTCAACATCTCAGGATGATAGAGAGAATCCTGTTTAAAAAAATCCACAACAAAAATGGATGTACTTTGCAGTTCATAATGTTTTGACATACATGAGCTTGTACGATCCTCCCAACAACCCCATCAAATAGGCAGCATAGATATTATTATCCTCATTTTAGAAGTAAGAAAATCAATGATCAAGGAGATTAAACAAATTGTCTAAATCCACTGAGCGCTAGACTTAGAACTAAACATAAATCTTTTTGTTTCAAATCATTTGCTTTTCTCATTGTGAATACGCTGAACAGTCTGCTTCTGTAGAAAATATTTCCTTGATGGATAACTTTATTGCATAAATTCTCCCAAAGGATTAGGGATTAATTTAGAAGATTCAATTCACTTGAATTCTAAATGTGAAATCTAAATACGGAAGGATTTGTCATTCCAGAGAATTTAGCAATGAGGTTGTCTCTACCACAGACTATTTGTCTTTGTGGATTCTTTCAGTGTCTCAGACTTGGATGGCTCCTCCAGAGGTTATGGAGCTCATTCTCCTCCCCAAAAACAGAAGCTTCTCTGACACATTCCATAGAATTGGTTGGTCAGCTTCTACTCGACCACCTCTAATGATGGAGCACTACTTCAAAAGCTTTCTCAATCTGTTGTTAGGGTAACCAGCTCACCCCAGTTTCGCCAGTACTTTTCTGATATTATAACTGAAAGTCCTACATACCTGGAATACTCTTAGTCCTGAACAAATTAGGTAGCCTACCGTTACTGAACAACGGAAATTATTAAAACCCTCTTTAGTAGAAATTAAACCCTCCTTACTATAGCTTCTACCTAGTTTATTGTTTGCCCTCTTCAGTGTCTATTATTCAATCAAAATTTGTGTCTTGTTGAAGTATGGATGGTCTCTGGTTTTGTATAGCTACCAAAGTCTGTGATAAAACTGCACTTCAAGCATTGTTCTACCACAAACTATAGGATAAATAGACCGTAGATCTAAGCTTTTAATCTCTGAGTTTGATAGACAGAGCCTGATGATACACTAGCAACAATCCATATCATCTATATACATTATTCCCCCTATAAGCCTATAGTGTAAGCCTTTTCAAATTGTTTTCCTGGTTCCCCAAGTTAAGTTTTATGATAGAATTGATGACATAAAAATAAATGTACTCCTATAGTAATCTATCATGGGTGAAGATAATTTATTAATTAATAATTGATTCTTAAACAAAAAACAGCTATTTTCATCCACATACTCTTGAGAAAAAAAATAATTGTCTTCTAAGTTTTCACCATTCAGCTTAATGTGCCTCTGAGAGTTGAAGTCTTTTTCTTTTCTTTTCTTTTTTCTTTTCTTTTAAATATGAGTACACCACTTCCTCTTTAGGGAAAGGAATAGTCTTTACATTATTGGATACTGAGGGACCACCAAAACCAGGAAATTCACATTTTATGAGTTTTCCCCAAATCAAAGCAACAGGGTTATAGTCAACATCATCCTTTCAGTCCTACTGGGTACTTTCAGAGAGGTGATTTGGGGGGCAAAATAAACTTTTTGCAGTGAAAAGCACATCCACTTCATTGCTTTCTTTCCAGCTGAAAATCAAGACTGGGATCTTAACAGGCCACAAGGCCTCCGCACTAAGCCAGACAGGTCCCTTTATGCTGTTTTGACTTTCTTGCCACTTACGATATCTATCACTTGGTAGAACACTTCATAAACCTAGTTCTTGGAGGTATATTTTTCTGTACATAGCAAAAAAAAATGATGAGAAATCATAAAAGATGAGAAATCATGATTACTATGATGAATCTGAGAATTTTGAGAAGCAAATGTTTCCAGAGAAGCTTTATGTTGACAGTACTTTGGGAAGGTTAATAATATAGTTTGTAAATGGAGTAAGATTTTAAGGGCTAAATTTTTAAATTATAGGATGTTAGAATGAAATGGGATGTTAGGGATCATTTAGTTCAGCCATGCCCATTTTACAGACAGGAAAATCGAAGTCCAGGGAGCACAGATTACCACTCTAATGGTCAGTGGCAGAGTTCTGAAGATAACCAGACTGACCTCTCACTCTAACTTCAACAAGTCAAACAATAATCATTTACTTTTGGGGAATGATGAAGCCATTTGAGAAGTGAGTTAATACAAAACCTGGCAAGATGCACATGCATTCGAGAGTTGTCATGTACTTTCAGGAGATCTATATACCTTGTGACGCTCATTGGATCTTCTTAGGCCATGGTTTTCCAAGGGAACAACTCAGGTAATTCTTGAATGGGCTCTATATTTAACGGATAAATCAAATCAGAGTTTATTTGAAATTCAACACTTATTTAAGAGGAATCAATTTTTTATTGCTGTTTTACATTCATTTTAAGGCTTTAAGTAAGTTCTGTATGAACAAATTGTTATAATATTAAGATTAAAAATGAGAAATTTTCCTTAAGGATTAGTAGGGTAGGACCTGGCCAGTGTCATTCACATTAACACCCAAGAGTATCTAGATCTGATGGTTCTAAATCTAACTGTGATTCAAACTTCCTATACAAATTTAGGAGTACAATTTAAACTCTTTATTTCAGTTTTCCCAATTTTAGCATGACTTGTATAGTCTCACTGTACTGCATGTCTTTGATAAACAATGACAAATAACTGATATTAGTAACTAATGCTTATTGTGCTCTTACTCTATAGCAAACATAGGCTGATGAATTTATGTGTTATATCCCTTCACAACAGTATAAATTGGGGTTTATTATATACATTTTTACAGTCAAGAAGGATAGAATCCCACAGAGATTTAAGCACTTCCTGAGGTCATCAGCTAGAGCAGTGGTTCTCTAATCAGGACAATCACCCCCTTTCCTACCTCACCCCACCTCCAAGCCAGGAGGTACTTCACAATGTCTGGAGGCCTTTTTAAGCATCATAACTGGGAAGGTGCTTTCAAACTAGTAGGTAGAGGCCAGGAATGCCACTAAACATCCTACAGTGTACAGAACAGAACCCACCCCACCCCAGTGAAGAATTATTTGGCCCAAAAAGTCCATAATGCTGAGGTTGGGAAACCCTAAACTAGTGACAGATGGAGAATTCAAATCTAAAGAACATGGCTCCACAGTGCACACTTAATATTTGCTTTCAAAATACAAGTTTAATATTACATATTTTATCAAAATATTAGTGATAATAATAATCCACCATTTTGCAAAACGGTATGCTTACTTGATAGCTTATAACTCACAATCTGTAGGGTCTAAGATACAGACCGAGTAATTCTGGGTAGACTATGGCAAAATCATGGGCATATATGTACCATAGGAGTTGGTGAGAAGGATGGAGCCTACCTAAGAGAATCTCAGTGCCCAGTCCCATCCTAACAGGGCATTAATACTTCAATAAATATTTTGAGGAACATAATTAGAACACATTTTATTGGGGGAGAAGCTTTGTAGAGATTAGTAGAACTAAAATTGAGTAAACCTGTGTGCTTAATATTAAATTATTTTTCCCAAGCATCTTTTGTACAATGAGCTGGGGTTGGTACAATTATTAAAGTTGTAACTCCAGGTCTGCACCCAGAGAGATGCTACCCAGGCTGGCATAGGCTTTAGCTAAGTATAGGTCATCAGCTCCATGCAGTGCCCTGGGCAAAGAGAAAGCTCCAGCCTCTTGTCCACCATTCCTCTGGTAGAGGCCAGGCATGCCCTCTGAGGCCAGGAGAGAAATCATGACTTTGTAGAGCCAGAACAGACTGAGAACAGAGCAATCTTTTACTGTGGTGCAAACGTGCAACATTTGGACTGGGGCTGACTTCTATAGCTGCAATCTTTGATAGTCTCTAATCAGAAAAGGAAATGGTGACAGTCCTAGTAATTGCCTGCACCCAGTCAGCCACAGATCCCAGATCACACTTAGTATTTGCATTAAGCCAGTAAAGCATTAGGGTAAGGCTTTAATGGGGTATAGAAATTAAACTCGTCCTTTGTGCTAGATATTCAGTTTACATTCATTTCACAAGTATTTCATGAACATTTGGTGTTAATTGTATAATTTTTCACAGTCCACACACCAGTGAAACCAAGATGGATATAAGACTTATTATTATGCTCTTGAAACTTTCACTCTAATTATAAAACTAACCAATGAGACCATTAAGGGTAATGAATGTGCTATTTATTTATTCGCCAGACATTTAAAAAAACATCTACTATGTGCAAAGTACTGTGTCAGATTTAAAGGAAAACATGGCTGAATATATTAGCCCACTCCTCAAAATCTTATAATGTAGTACAAGAAGTAGACAGGTGGTATGATGGGAAGACAAAATAAAAGAATGGAAAAAGGAAGGAATTCAGATATAAATACTGGGCTCTGACTTTTCCTTGCTGGAACCTTAAGAAAGTTATTGAATGTTCAAGAGCTCGACTTCCTCATCTGTGAAAGAAGCACAATTACATGAACTTTATAGAAAACACTTAAAGAATTGCCATAATAAAAGTACAATATGGGCATTCACTTGCACTCAGGTCCAGAGATACCCAAAAGAGAGCCCTGAATCCTGTGCCAGCCCTAAAGACGATGCTGGGCAAGCTCCCCTTATTCTCACCATCAGGGATGCTCCAACCCAGAATAACCAATGGGATCTAGACCCTGAGACTGGGAAGTAGAAGAAAATGAAAAAGTGGTTTGATCCAACCACCAAGTAATCAAAAGGCATACAAGAACAAGTGCAAAACACGGGGAACTAGCTCCCTCAGAGTGCCCCAGTGCGTTCCTTAGGTGATGGGCTTTGAAAACGTGTCTTGGCTTGGTAGAAAATTGACAATGAACACTGTCTTCCTGTTTTTTAGTGTTCAGTTCTTCCTGTGCATCATTATCACCTCTGGAGTTTGTTTATCAATGTAGACGCCCCTTGGCTTGTCATTCCGGACCAACGAACCAGAATCTCTGGAGATAGCGCCCAGGAAGCTGGATACTGAGGAAGCACTTCAGGTGATTCTGAGGCAAGACCAAGTGTGGAAATCACAGCAGTAGAGCCTCATGGTATTAGGAGGAGAAAAATAAAGACTTTTCACTTCTGGTTTAGGCTCTTCAACATGCAAAAATGACTTTAAGATGATCTGAGTTCACCCGTAGAAGGCAAATCCTTTCTTTGACTATATGATTATTAATCTGTTGATCTACCTGGATAGTATAACGCACCCTCCCTCTCTCCAGTGTGTCCCACTTATGAGGATAACACTGTCTTTTCTTCTCTCTTAACTTCCATGTCCATTCACTCATCAAATCCTCTCCGTCCAAATTTTCTTAATATTTCTCAATCCTTCTCATTCTCTTTGCTCCATTTATACTTCTTAGTTCAAACCTTCATCATCTCCTATTTTCTAATTTTGGAAGCCTATTTTACTTATTTAAATAAAAAGGAAACATTAAATATTAAGGTGAAAAAAGGAAAGAGAAAGACAGGAGCCAGCACGTAAAGCAACTGCTACATGTAAACTTTGTGCTGGGGTCTTCACGCATGACCTAAGTTTTATTTTCCCAATGGCCTCATGAATTAGTTGTCATCTCAGACCACTCTATAGAGTAGAAGGTGAGATGGTCGATGATTGTTTCCAATGTCACAGCTAATAAATGGCCAAGAAAGTTCTTAAATCCAACACCCTTCCTACAGCCAAAAGCATTTCAACGAGTTTCACAACCGTTGCCAGTTCATCTTTCCCAATGGCTGATCTACATTCCAACAGCCTTACATAAATCTCTTTTCATTGTTTTCTTTACTTGATGAACACAGGGACCAACTGTTCCCTGTCACTCATCTATTACACTTTCTTACACTTGAAGCCTGAGAACCTCTTCTAATTTTCTAATTAATCAATTATTCTTTAATACACTGAATTCAGTTTCCATTGATGGAGCAGCCACAGATTGCTGGCACCATCCTTGGCACTTGGGGGGTCAGGAGGGAGGGAGATGACAAGTTCACTGCCATTAGGACACTTGAGTCCAATAGAAGCGTGACAAATGACAACCAGGCAAACCAGTTAAGTGCACTCTCTGAAGTCAAGTCATGAAATAAATAGGAAGACTGTGTGTGAAATGAGGCAATAGTCCAACAGCCCTCTTACACAGCTGGGCAACCTCTTAGAGAAATAAACAGCATCCTTTTAACCATCCAGACAGGCTCATGGTTGAGCCTATTTATCTGTATCATCTACAAACAATATTTAACTTAATCTAAGGCAGAACAGGAGCACAAACATTGAGGTCTGGGTCTGTAACCATTCCCCTAGCACTGCAATGTTTATGGGAACATTCAAGGCCAAGAAAAAAATGTGTGAGCCCTCACCAGACATTTCCATTGTTGCTGGATGCCAGCTTCTCACTTATTCATATAGCATCTGCTTCAGAAGACCTATATTATCCAACTGTCCTTCTGGAGTGGGGGGTGTCAAGTTAAGAGTTTGTGGTTCTGGACTGAGCTGTGTTTCTCACTAGTTGTATAGTATTAGGAAAACCACTTAGGTCACTCATTCTCAGTTTGGTCAAAAGTCCAAAAGGGGAGTTGGGCTAGATTTCTCAAAAGGGCTCTTCCAGCTTCACAGCTCAAGGGTTTCACATGAATGAGGAGTTCTAAGAAAGAAAATGGGATCAATACTTCTTACCTGGGGAGATGCAGAAGTAGTCTGAGTAGAAATCTCTATGTTGCCTGTGTGTGTGACTGCCATTGTCCAGCAATGCCAGCTAGGAGTGATTAGTGCTTAGCATTTTTCCTCATCCTGTGTGTCTATCGAGTGTACTTTCCCACTGACCTACCTGATAAGGATCTCTTGTATGCTTGGCACACTAACATTCCAAGATATTACACTGAGTGTGAGAGGGGAGGTATCAGGTAGTACTATGCCAAAACAGGAACCATAGAGTCTACCTCTGAGATGCCAAGGGTTAAATTTCAAGATAGGGGCCAAGCAAGGAAGCAACTTGAATCATTTCCCCGAATAGGTTTGGGCCTTCCCAGGCGTGGGGGATATCTGTTGTTTTTGCCTTCCCACCATTCATACCCTCTTCCTCCAGTTGCAGTAGCCTGATTTTTTTTCTTCAGGAACAATTTCTCCCCTACACTCAGTACACACAGTTTTAGAATGGACATGGGAGCCAGACCTCAATCAACCACATGATCTATCCCTTGAACGCAGTAACTGTCTCAGCAACGGGTGTATGTCTTATTTGAGGTTGGTAAGAATCAGACCAAGACTGAAGAGTGAATTCTTCTCCTAAGATTGCCCACAGAAAGGATCATGTAAGCCTGGAGCTATCATGAGCTACCACAAGGAATGTTAAAAAAAAAAAAAAGCCAAAGGGAAATAGAGCTCAGAGAAGAAGGTAATGAGTCCTGATAATAGAACTGGGTCCTTTGATTCAGCCTTGCCTGAAATTGCCTTTTCATTTGCACACCAGGGAAGTCCTTTTTCTGTTTAAGCCAGCTTCCATTGGATTTTTACTACTTAACCAGAAGACCCGTGACTTATGTGTTGAATGCAAGTATGGGGCCTTGCATTTGCTTACTAAAAAGTTTCAATAAGTGGTTTGACAAATTTGATAATCTCTAACACAGCTTCCAGTTCTATCATTCATTGGGACTTTTTAAACAAACATGTCCAAGAAAAGCAACATAGTAGAAAGAGCAGGAACTGTGAAATCAGACTGATCAGAGTTCAAATCTCAACTTATCCACTGCCTCACTCCAAAAACCTAGTTACTTGCCTTTATGAGCATGTGAGTTTCTGTAAAATGTGGAGTAATAATATGTATCTTGAAGAATTTCTGAGGCTGGCCTGGTGGTGTAGTGGTTAAGTTCACACACTCTGCTGTGGTGGCCCAGGGTTCTCAGGTTCAGATCCCAGATGCAGACCTACACACTGCTCATCAAGCCATGCTGTGGCAGTGTCCCTCATTCAAAATAGAGGAAGATTGCCACGAATGTTAGCTCAATGACAATCTTCCTCAAGCAAAAAGGGTAATATTGGCAACAGATGTTAGCTCACAGCCAAACTTCCTCACCAAAAAAAAAAAAAAAAAGAAAACACAAACCAGAATTTCTTTCCAGGATTAAATTAAAACATGAGTACTGAACACATCACCTACCACACAACATGCAGTCAATGGATGACAGCTGTCACTATTTTATTAGTTCATGGAACCAGAAGCCACATCTAGTACTGTCTAATATGAATGTAATAATGGTATTTCCTTACAACTTCAAAATTCAATATAGTTTACATAATATTTTGTTACCTATTAGCTCATTCCTCCTGCTCCACAATCCTCAGAAGTAGTGAAATTCGGTCTGATAACTCCCACTTTAAAGAAGAAACCAAGGTGTCGCAGCCTGTAAGAAACAGAGTTAAGACCAAAGTCACAGCATTTTGACCTTAAGCTCAGAGCTCTAACTTCCCCACAGGCCTCACAGGCCTGGTGCCCAGAACATGCATCATCTCTCAGAGTCTGCACTGATACTGTCTGAGTTGTGTACACCACAGAGTCACAGAGTGAAAAAGCTAGAAAAGTCATTAGACTTTCCAACCTCCACCCCCTGAAAACTTCCACTAGTATTCTAGTTAAAAGCGTAGGATGAAAGGTAAGAAAGATTAGGGTTAGAATGCACCAATTTTGGGCTTTGTGACCACAACCTAGTAAATAAGTCTTGCTGAGCTGCGGTTTTCTTACATGTATTTTAGAGGTCAGATGACTGACCATCTTTCTTGCTTATAAAGAGAATTAAAAGGACACATGTTTGTAAGGCAATTAACACAATACCTGTCACATGGAAACCTCTCTGTGAGTGACATAAATTATTAAATTACCTATTGTTGTGATTATTATTAACCCACAATTCTGAACCACCAGTGCTTTCTCCACTCCTTACTCTCTCTCTATACTATAAACTTTAAAATATATATGCCACTGAGGCTAGAGACTGTGTCTCTGTTGTCTTTGTACCCTCAAATCAATTCATATTTCTTGAATGTCACAATTAATGAATGATAGCATTGCTAAGGCATTCATTTGAAGTATTATCCTAAGGGAATAATTGCCTTCGAGTTCTTAGGTGGGCTCCTTTCTCTTCCCACCAGGAAGGAGACTCCAAATGTTGACAAAGGTGAAAAAGGTTGAATCACGTGTTCCTGTTCCTTCAAGCATTATTTCTTTTTGGATTTTTTTCCCCTCTGTGTTTACCCCTTGTTCCTTCACACACCTGCTTCAGACCCAGCTGAGAGTCAGGGATGGAGGTGCTGGGTGTGGGCCCCATTAGGGAGGATTTGGGCTTTATCCTTTGCTTGTGTTCTCCTCTTGTGATTTGTATTAATTTCGCTTTGGGACACATGCTACTAGGCACAAGAAGCCTTTTTGATTGAACAGTGAAAGAAGCCTATTAGAAATGTGAAATCATAATTTCTGGAGGTTTGAGGACTTAAAAAAAATGTGGACAGCTGTTGGCTAAAGAACTGAGGAATGTTTAAGTCAGGAAAATATCCTAGGTAATGGAGCCAGAGAGCCTAAATCAGTGGTAAATACTGCTAAGCCATCATTACACACTAAATAGTTATTAGTCATCTCTCTGTTTTTAACGGAAAGCTTAAGGGTCTGAAGTCCAAAGCTTAGACTCCATTCTCTCTAACAAATCAAAAATCCCATCCCCTCCAATAACAGAAATCTGCCAAGAGAACATTAAAGGTCAAGCTAAACCCACAAAAGCAAAGCAATGCTGATTTCAAAGACCCAGAATGGAAAAATACAATTAAAAGTCACCGGTTCACTCTGAGCAGGAGAAAAGATTGAGAGTTTGATTTAAGGTTAGGAGCCCAAGGGGCAATGGCGAAGGGAAGCAGGAACCCCAAGCCAAACCATAAGCAAAGTGGCCTGGAAACTCTCAAACTTGGCGGGAGCCTTTCCCTTTCCCGTCCCCTCTTGGGCGAGTGGGTCACAGCGTGGTTGGAATGTTGAGCTGCCCCCGCGGGACCTATATTGGGAACCTGGCCTCCAATGGATAGGTCTGGGCTATGGACCTGGCTCTCTCCCAGCTTCACAGTGATTTTCCTGTGTTATCCTACACAAGTCATTCACCCTGCCCTGCCCTAGTTTTACCTAATTACAAAATAATTTCTTCTAATGAGGCCAAGTTTACCAGTAAGCCTGCATTTTGTGGTTTGTGGGATGCCAAGAAGACACCAGTGGGGCTGTAGGCCCAGCTTCATAATATTCACATCTCTCCATTATACTTTCTCACCAATGCCTGAAATGCCACCATTCATGGATATATTTAATCTAAAAACAGTTTTTGAGTGCCTACTTCACATCAGATATTGTACTAGGCACTAGGGACACAGAATTGAGTAAAATAAACATAGATCCTATGCACAGTTTAGTTGGAAGAAACAGACTGAATTAAACAGGTAAATATATGCAAATATATATACGCAAATTGAGAGTCCCCTGAAAAGTTAGTAAACAAAGTGCAATGGTAAAGATGAGAAGTCTAAGTCTTAGTTAATTTCATTAGCAAAGCCACTGAGAAGGTGGCTTTTAAGCTGAGACTTTAAATTCACAGTGAAGATCCAGGAACATACTCTTCTAGGTAGGAGACTAGCAGGTGCTAGCCTCTAAGCTGGAAAGGAGCTTGGTGTGTTCTGAAATTGACAAAGAAAGGAGGTTGTTGTGGATGGAACATGGTATGTGAGCTGTAAAGGAGTTGAGACGAGGGTGAGGGGTAGCTGAGGAGAGGTCACACGGGGCTTGGTAGGCCACAATAAAGCAACTGCGCATCGCACTGTCCATAATGTAAAGCTATCAAAGTTACTAAGCAAGAGGGTGGCATCATCTGTCTCACAATTAAAATTACTGTGGCATCAGTGAGGTGAATAGAATCTTAGAAGCCACAAGAGGAAGCAGGGAAATGAGGTATAAAGCATGCTCCCCTCCCTAGATTGTGAGCTCCATGAGTGCAAAGAGTTGTGTCTGTTTTATTCACTAAAATTGCTCTGGTTCTTAGAACAAGAGTTGTTGCATGAAGATAGTGATACAGAATAAAGGCAGAGCCTTACATAGAGTCAACAAGAGAACTCATGTGTGTGGCACTTAAGAGGAGCTCTATCAATAAATATTTATTAAATGAATGAAGGAAAGAGTGAAGCTTGCCATACTCCAGAAAAAATATTACAGTAGCTTGGATGTAGTGGTGGAAGTGGAGAGTGAGAAGTATGCAGATTTGAGATATACCTGAAGGCGAAACACAAAGGACTTCTGAATAGAATGAAGGTGAGGGTGGAGAGAGAGACAAGTGAAAATCAACACCCTTATTTATGGCTTGAGGAACAAGCTAAGTGGCAAAAACATTTCCTGGGGTGGGAAAACCTCTGGGAAGATAGATAGATTAGATGATTGTCCTGTAGCCTGAATCAAAACCAGCCTTGCCGTCCCAGATCTGTGTATGTCATAATAAAGGTGCATTGTTATCAAGATTTGGGGTGCTTTGTTTTGCAGCATTGCTGTGGCTATAGCTGAGTGAGGCAGGAATCATGAGACTCAAAGGAAAATCATGATTTCAATTTTGAAATGTCAAACTTGAGAGAGCTCTGAAATACTCAAGCGGGGATATCAAATAGCCAACTGAACACACAATTCCATAAATGTACAGATGAAGTCTCAGCTCAAGGTAAACCTTTTGGACTCACTAGCACAAAGATTATATTTAAGACCAAGAACATGGATGAGATCATCCAGGGAGAGTATATAAAAAGAAAGGTAAAAAAGTGCCCATTTCCCAACCATGGGGTCCTTCAACATTTAGAGGTCATGAGAAGAAGACGGAGAATTAGGGACCAGAGAGGTGATAGGAAAATAGGAGTGCTTGGGAGCACAGCATCCAAGAGAGGAGATTTTTAAAAAAAGAAGTAGAGAATGTTCAACTGTGTCAAACATTATTATAAGACTATATTAATTTCCTATTGCTGCTGTAAATTACCACAAACTTGGTGGCTTAAACAACAAAAATTTATTATCTCACAGTTTGGGAGATCAAAAATCTGAAATGGGTCTGATTGAGCTAAAGTTAAAGTGTCAGTAAAAATGTCTTCCTTCTGGTGGCTGCAGAGAAGCCTTTCCCAGCCTCCAGATGCCACTCACATACATTGACTCATGGCCTCTTCTACTATCCCCAAGACTCTCTTCGACTCAGGGCACAGTGACTTTCTTGCTTCTCTCTTTTACTGAGAAGGATCCTTATGATTACATTGGGCCCACAAGGATACTCCAAGATAATTTTCCCAGCTCAAACTCAGCACATTAGCAACCCAAGTTCCATCCACAACCTTAACGGCACTGCTGCCCCATGCAACACAACATATTCACAGGGGCCAGGGATTAGGAAACAGGCAGCTCTTGGAAATCATTATTCTGCATCTGACAGACACTAAGTAGCTTTGCTTTTTGGGAAAAGAGATAGATGATTCTGGAAAAGCTTTGGGCTTCTAGTGTGTTAATTAGTTCCCAAGAATATTAAAAGAATATCTCCCTTATACACAGAATTATATGAAAAACATTTCAGGAATCAGAAAAACAGATTTAACCATAAAGAAAATCCCCTTCAGCTACTTATTTTAAAGAACTGGGGTTTCCAGCAATGTGAGGGAAAAAAAGAGCAAAGAATGAAAGATCAAGATGGACAAAAAGAATACCGGAATAAACAGAGATAATCCACAGAATATGAGAACTTTCAAAATGATTCTAATGAGGATTCCCAGAGATATTTGAGAAAAGATCATATCAAAAATATAAGCATAATTTTCTATAAAAGGATTAATTAGGGGGCAAGAAAGCATTCATAGAAATTTAAAATATGAGGGCTGAAATTTAAAAAATATATATGTTTAACAGTATGGTCTGAGGAAAATACCCCAGAGCACAAAAGATAAAAAAAGAAAAGGAAAATAATGTAAGATAAAAGTAAAGTCTTAAAAGATCAGTCCAAAAGGGTCATCTTCCATCCAAAAGAGTTCTAGAATAAGAGAAGAGAGAATGTGAAGGAGAATAAAAAATCAAGAAATACTGCAAGACAGCAGGACAATGGCAATAACGTTTTAAGGAAAAATGTTATTTTGAACTCAGAACTCCATACCTACTCACAATACTAAGTGTGAAAGTAAAATGAAGAAATTTTCTAGACATAAAAGGATTGAGAACATTTGTCTTCATGCAACCTCTGGGAGAAAAATATATCTTGATTATCTATTCCAACAAAACAGCAGAAAGTACAAAAACAAGAAACCGAGGGACTGATTCAGGACTGTTGGTAGAAGTTGTGATCTCCACCTCTTCCCAGGCCAAGAGTGG